TTCAGTCCCCCGTCTCTCTCTCTCTCTCTCTCTCTGACTCTCTCGTCGGTCTGTCTGTCTGTCTCTCTCTCTCTCTCTCTCTCTCTCTCCCCCATATGCTATGTTGGCAAACATTTAACTTAATCTACTTAATACCATTACAACATTGATGTGCGTATTCTCTGGAGTATTTGAATACATTTGTCACCGAAAAGTGCCCAAAGTTGCACGTGCATCTATTGTTCGCTTCTGGGTTGCCTTGAATAGTTTGCTGATGTAGTTTTGTACATACAGTTGTGTTCATATTAGTAAAGAAATTATTGAGAAGAGATATATTTGATTGCATTAAATGTGTGCTGTTTATGATAAGTGAGTGCAAGACGACGGATACACGTTCTAGCCATTAACCAATTTTTGATTATCAAGAACCTACAAAACAAGTATTGACACACGTCTTGGGGGAAGGAATTTGCTACATCTATGCAATAGATTTATCCATTTTGTGTACCAGATACCACAATACGAGTTTTTTCTAACTGAAAAAAGTCGTCGATGTTCTGCCGCAAGTATTACACGTTTTATACCACGTACGTATTGAGGACGAGAAAGTTAAAAGGTAATTTCGCCAAACTTCTGAAACTAGTAATGACAAACGGATGACACGTAAGTCTATTCGCGGTATCGTATTGTATCTGTATTCATAGTATTATAATGTTAGTGACTAGGGAATAGAAAAAATAAAGAAATTAAATGTTTTACTTGGTTGTTAAAGTAAGTACTTAAGTCTGTTGTAGCCAATAGTTGTTGCTAGCTATTTATCAATAATTTAATGCGTTAATTTTTTTTTACTTGTAAATTACTTTTTTTAAGGATATAATTGCCAAAATCTACAAAAAATAATTTATATTTTGAAAGATATTCATATTTTCTATTACATAAATTTACCTTTAAAACGGCGGTTCCTTGAATTCAATCAAGCCCATTTCTAAACTTGTAAGTATAGAGTAAACAAGATTAATTTTAGATTCTCCCGTTCTCCCAAAAACTGACTTTGTTACTCTGAGAGCTTATTAAAATGTCATTTTATAAACTTAGTAAAATTATACAAAAATGTATGCGGCATGAATCTTATGAGAACTTCTTAATCTCTACAATAACTATGAAAAATAGGAAATTGTGTACCTACAGTGAAGACGAATAATTTGGCTCTATAGACAATAGCTCTCAGACTTTTAGATAAACAGGAATTAGAATTGCGCTGAATAATAAGCAAACCCATCCTCATGGATCTTGTAAGTTTATATTTATTACGCCTACGGAATTCTACCATTGCCTCTTGATTACGAATCATGTGATTTTGAACACAACTTACTTACTCAAGAATAGGATTCATGTTTCAAGAGAATAAAGATGACATAATCGAGCCCGAGTTCAGGCACTTATTTTACTTAAAATGTGCAGGCAACAGGGCAAAAAAGCATCTTATTTTTACTAAATAGACGGAACTAGCGCATTTATTGCAACTTATGCAGGGGTTATAAAAAGGCGTATAAAAATGAATAATCCCGTTCAAAGAAATTATTTTTAGAAAGTTAATAATGAAATGATTTATTATTCGTTTTATACGTTTTTATTCAACTCCACATCCAATCAAAAAGCTCTCCAAAATATTCACCGATACAGCTGAACAACATTTAAACGCATTAAAGTCGATGCATTAAATTTAACTGCAGAGGTTTTGTTTCCGATAAAAATAAGTGTTCCATTTGCGGGAGAGAGAAATTTCGAATTTTCAAGTATTGCTAATCTCGCTTTTTGTATATTTATTCCATTATTTAATTACGTATAGCAAAATGGAGAGGCAGAATTCTTGATTCTCATGGAATTATGTTTCGTAGATTTTACTAAGCCCCCTCCCCTACACGTTCTCAAACATTTTACTTTATACGGAAAAAATAACATCAATCAAACGACCAGCAGCTGCTCGGAGCATTCTAATCCAGTCCAGAGTGATTAAACGCCCCTTCGCTCTAGCGGAAACACGCGTGGGATTCGAACCAGGCGTCTACCGGCCAACGAAAATTTCAGTCGCGCATTGGCAACTACCCACACACCATCGCAGCTCTATTTCCTTATCGTATAATAAATTAACTTATTTTCCTTCTCACTTAAAGGCGCATAATTTGGCGTGTCTTAGAACCCCAACGCGAGGGTGTGCTGTGCGGCTGAAGCGGAAGACTCCACGCTGAGACGAGGCGCGCCGCTGCCGCGCGCCGAGAAAGCTCTGCCTCCGTCACCCTCATGAATATTAAGCTGCGCCGCGCGCTGCGGACGCCGTGTTTTGTCTGCGGGGCCGCGGAGAAACTTAGTTTTCACGGACTGGTTAGCGCGCGCACAAAGTGGCGCGTCGGGACTTCGGGGTTAAAGTTCTTGAATAAAACTTCATCTTTTTCCTTGTCACTTCTTTCGTTTCGTTACAATCTGTCCGCAAACGCACGAGGGAGCGGCCGGATTAAAAATCATCGGCGAAGAGAATCTCGCACTCTAAAAAAATCGATGACGTTAAAAGAAAAATGCCACTAGTTAGGTGAGATTAAAAGTTTTTTCACAATGTGTTGTTCGAGACAAGACTCTCATTATTATGCATACTTTTGCATGATCACATCGTTAAAAAAAAAACAAAAATATTAATTGGATAAACTCGCAGAAGAAAAGTAAACAAAATTCCA